TCCATTCTCCGATCCGACATCTTCTTGGCTAATTTTTGTTAGTTTATAGATTTGATGCTGTTTTGGGAGCTTTCTTGTATAAAAGAAAACAAGGAGTTGCAGAGAGTATTCACAAAGATGAGTGAACAAGAAGTTTCATTTCTCTTCTTTCTGGCAATCGAATGGACATTACCGAAAGCACTCACATTACAGAGCATTAGCACATTTCTCTCTCATATCAGAGAAAATACATCACAACCATTCATTTCATCTATCCTATGAGATAGCTACAGTTGTCACTCTATATCATTAATTCTCACTTAATCTAGAGCATCCATTTGGAATGTAATCCAAAGGCTATAATTAAAACAGGTAAACTGAAATGTTTTATTTCAGCTAAAAACACTTAAACACTAACACTCCCTTCTAAGTGTTTAGCTGAAATCACTCCTAAAGCCTTCCTCAAATACTCAAATCTATCTCTTGCCAATGCTTTTGTAAAGATATCTGCAACTTGTTCTTCAGTTTTGCAGTAAATCAGATCAACTTCACCATTCTGCAGTGCATCTCGGATGAAATGAAATCTTCTGTTTATGTGTCTTGTCTTATGATGAGCCACTGGATTCTTAGAGATTGCAATAGCTGAAGTGTTATCGCATAGAATTTGAGTAGGTTCCACTTGTTCCTCTCCAAAATCTGATAAGACAAACCTTAACCAGATGGCTTGTGCAGTTGCCTCTGCAGCACTAACATACTCTGCCTCTGCAGTGGACAAAGCTACACTGCTTTGTTTGATTGAGGCCCAAGAAAATGCTCCAGAACCAAAACTAAAAGCATATCCGGAGGTGCTCTTCATGTCATCTTCACTTCCTGCCCAATCACTATCACAATATCCAATAAGCACAGCATCCTTGCCTTTTTCATATGCAATTCCATAGTCCAGTGTGCCTTGAATATATCTTAGCACTCTCTTTGCAGTTCCCATATGTTTCCTGGTTGGATTATGCATGAACCGAGCAAGTAGACTTGCAGCAAACATGATATCAGGTCTTGTAGCTGTTAAATATAACAAACTACCAACTATCTGCCTGTAAAGACTTTCATCAGCTATTTCACTTCCATCTTCTTTGCTTAATCTTTCATTTGTTGCAAGTGGAGTTGCAACAGGTTTGCATTCTTTCAATCCGAATTTCTCCAACAGAGTCCTTGCATATTTCTTTTGATGCAGAAAAATACAACTCTCAGTTTGAATGACTCCAAGCCCCAAGAAATGATGCAATAGTCCCAAATCAGACATTTCATACTTTCCCATCATTTCTGTTTTAAACTCATTCATCAATGCAGCTGAACTTCCTGTGTATATGATGTCATCTACATACAGAGAAACAATAAGTATTCCTGCCTCAGTTGCTTTGATGTAGAGAGTTGCTTCACTTGGACTTCTGTGAAAACCAGAGTTGCAGAAATGAGAATCAATTTCTTTGTACCAGGCCCTTGGTGCCTGTTTCAACCCATACAAAGCTTTCTTGAGCTTGTAAACCTTGTCTTCCTTGCCTCTAATCACAAAGCCAAGTGGTTGGTCTACATATACTTCCTCATTTAGAACTCCATTCAGAAATGCAGACTTCACATCAAGTTGGAAAAGCTTCCATCCTTTATGTGCAGCAAGCCCAATTAAAGTTCTAATAGTGTCAAGCCTTGCCACAGGAGCAAATGTCTCATTGAAATCGATTCCAGGCTTTTGAGAGTATCCCTTAGCCACTAACCTTGCCTTATTCTTCTGTATAGACCCATCTAGGTTCAATTTTGTTTTATAGATCCACTTGACACCCACAACCGGCTTATCAAATGGTCTATCAACAAGTTCCCAGGTGCAATTCTTCTCTATCATGCCTATTTCTGCTTCCATTGCCTTCTGCCATGATTCATCTTTTACTGTTTCCTCAAAGTTCTCAGGCTCAATAATGCACAGATTGCATTTTGCATATATTTCTGTCAAACTTTTGAACTTCAAAGGAGTATGATCATAGTCTTGAGGACCTGTGTTACTCTGCATTTGCACCAGTCTTGAATCATTTTCAATTGACTCATTTGCTTCAGATGAAGATGCTAAGAATTCATCATTTTCATCACTCTTATCACTTGAATTTCCTTCCACATTCTGTTCACACACAATTTCTTTTCCAGGTATGGATACACTGATGATTTTCTCAGATTGTGACTCCCAATCCCAGCAAGCATTTTCATTGACTATTACATCTCTTGACACAATTATTTTCTTTGAGATAGGATCATAGAGAGTCTATACCCTTTCTCACATGTGCCATATCCCAAAAATATGCATTTAGTACTTGTTTCATCCAATTTCTGTCTAACCTGTCTTGGAATGTATGCATAACACACAGAACCAAAAATCTTTAAGTGTTTAATCCCTGGTTTTCTTCCACTATATGCCTCGAAAGGAGTCTTCTTATCAAGAGACTTGGTAGGACATCTGTTCAAAATATACACTGATGTATTAACAGCTTCTGCCCATAATTCAAATGGGACACCCTTTTCAATCATCATACACTTTGACATCTCAACTATGGTTCTATTCTTCCTCTCAGCTACTCCATTCTGCTGAGGTGTGTATCCCACTGTAAACTGTCTTTCCATGCCCATTTCTTCACAAAATTCCCTGAATTCAACAGATACATATTCTCCTCCTCTGTCACTTCTCAACTTCTTCAATTTATATCCACTTTGTAATTCAACTGTGAGCTTGAATTTCTTGAATACACTAAACACCTCTGACTTGTTCCTTAAGAAGTAAACCCAACACATCCGAGTGCAGTCATCTATGAAGGTGAGAAAATACTTATTTCCAGCCTTTGTAGAAATCTGCATGGGTCCACAAATGTCAGAGTGAATGAGTTCAAGAGGTTGTGTGGCCCTCCATGATGCTTCCTTTGGAAATGCATCTCTGCAATGCTTCCCAAAAGCACACCCTTCACATATCTCATTTGTCATTTCAAGATCCGGCAAACCCAACACCATATCATGCTCTTTGAGTTGTTTCAAACTGCTCAAATTCAAATGTCCTAACCTCCTATGCCAGATTTTAGAAGACTGAAACACACTAGTCTTTAGAGCAACATGCATCTCAGGTATAAGTCTCAAAGGAAAACTTCTATTTCCCTTCATTGGTATTCTAGCTATCAGATTAGACATTGAACTATCATCATATATCTCTGCAGTTGTACCTCCAAACACAAGAAAGTAACCGTGTTCCATCATTTGCCCTACACTGAGCAAATTTTCTTTTAACCCTGGAATTAACATCACTTCTTTGATATATCTCCTTCCCATTTTGGTATCAACTACTACTAAACTTCCTTTCCCTGTGACTTCAATGAGCTGTCCTGTACCCATCTCTACCTTAGCAGTCATATTTCTATCAATGTCAATCAGTAACTCCTCCCTTCCAGTCATATGGTTACTACAACCACTGTCTACATACCATATATCTTCATTTTTCTTCACATTAACATTATTATTGCAGACATAGAACATGGTAGGAGTATCATTGACTTGATTAACAAAATTCACATGTTGATTAGTCTTCTCCTTCTTGACTCGGCAATCTCTTGCAATATGCCCCAACTTATGACAACTATGACACCTTGGTTTATCTTTGAACCAACATTCACCAAAATGCAATTTATCACAATGAATACAGGGATTCTTAGCTCCTTCAGAAGTACCTGCAACTTTTCCAGTTTGATTTGCAGGTCTATGATCTCCTTTCTTCCATTTAGACTTCCAATTCTTCTGTGGTTTGAACCCTTGATTCCCATTGTATTTATTCTGTTTTGGAGCAATACTGAGACTAACAAATGCTTTCTCAGTATGAGATTCATCATGCCGATCAATTCTTTGCTCATAACCTTTGAGAAATAGCTACCACATCTTGAACATCAACAATATCTAGATCCTTAGTATTTTCAATCACAGAAGCAATACTATCATAGGACCTAGGTAAACTTATTAGCAACTTTTGAACGATTCTCTGATTACTTATCTCCTCACCATAGCTTCTCATTTGACTAATCAAATCAAATAACCTAACTAGATATGCAGAGAAAGCTTCATTTTCACCCATTCTAGTATATTCAAAATCCCGGCGTAAGCCTTGGAGTTTCACAGCCCGTACCTGTTTATCTCCCACAAATTCTTGTTTCAGCACATTCCAAGCAGCATTTGCAGTCTCTTGGATTGCGATTCTCGGAAAGATCTGATCCGAAACCGCGCCTTGAATGATTCCAAGTGCCTTCGCATCTCTGACTATATTCTCCTTCAATAACTTGCTTTCAGCTACAGTAAGTTCTTCATCCTTCTTCGTCGAAGTTTCGACACCATTTTCGACGATACCCCATAGTTCGTGCGATCGGAATATTGTCTTCATCCGAATCTGCCAGAAATCAAAGTTTCACCATTGAAAACCGGTGCACGAAGATCAGCTCCACTCGATCCAGCCATGTGAAACGAGATCTAAGATCACTACACTTTCTTCTCCGCGTTTTCTTCAGTGAGAACTCAACGGTCAGTTCGAGCTCTTCACTGTGAGCTTCACAGATTCACGCCCAGTTGCAGAGGATGCAACCTGGCTCTGAGGCCATGTTAGTTTATAGATTTGATGCTGTTTTGGGAGCTTTCTTGTATAAAAGAAAACAAGGAGTTGCAGAGAGTATTCACAAAGATGAGTGAACAAGAAGTTTCATTTCTCTTCTTTCTGGCAATCGAATGGACATTACCGAAAGCACTCACATTACAGAGCATTAGCACATTTCTCTCTCATATCAGAGAAAATACATCACAACCATTCATTTCATCTATCCTATGAGATAGCTACAGTTGTCACTCTATATCATTAATTCTCACTTAATCTAGAGCATCCATTTGGAATGTAATCCAAAGGCTATAATTAAAACAGGTAAACTGAAATGTTTTATTTCAGCTAAAAACACTTAAACACTAACAATTTTGACTCATTTCGGCCAGACTCGCACTCCAACGAAGGTAGGAAAATTGTTGTACTCTTCAAGAGCTTTATTTTAACATATTTGAGTCAACTTTGGTATTGGCTATATTCCAGCGAGTCGTTGCCACAGGCCACCGCGTTCAGCAGTGCGGCGACGGCGATGCATGAGTCCGATAAACCACTTTTTTCTAGTTAGCTAATTTTGATGCCCTAAATTTTTTTTTTTCACATCCGTTTGGCGAAATTCGATCTTGTAAACCTAGTTTCGCAATTGACCGCCACTCAACTTTTGTAGGTGGCGAAGATCAGACGGTTGGATCATTATGGAATTGAAGTATGTTATTGTAGATGTATTGTGTTGACCTTAGGAACTTGTGGATCAAAAATCCAATATGTGGATATTTTGGGTTGGATTCCGTAGGGTTGTTGACTTTATTGTTGACCACATTCACCTAGAGTTGACTTTTGGTCAAAATGTCTTAGTTCTTAAATATTGAAATTATCATTATCATAGACCCGATAGATCCTAGTTGGCTTACTTTGATTAGTATGCCATCCTGAGGGATATACATCTCGGTTTGCATGTAGGTGAAACCTTATCAGGTTCATGTTTATTGTGCTTCTATATGTGAGTGACTTTAATATATGCGGTATGGTTATTACCTGAAAATTCTCATGCTATTATACTTAGTGGATATGAATGGATTATAAAAAGTGTTTTCTGCTAAATTGTTTCTTTTAAATTTAGTCATCAATTTATTTTATGAAATGTGTTTAGGTATGCATATTTGATATGTTTGTTAAACGAGAGGGCGGGTAGGTTATTGTTAACTCATTGCTATGGGGAGTTGTGACACCGAACTCGTATCGTATCTAGTTCTCTTGATTTGTTTTATACTAGGATCCTAGAATTTTTGTTCGGTTTCGTTAAGTAGTCTGAAACCGTGTGGTCTATATGGGTTCTGTTAATTGGTCTGGAACCCTATCTTTGTAGGATTTTGTTGTGTAATCTAGAATCCATTTCCTTATCATTTCCGTTGAGTGGTCTGAAACCCTATCTTCATTGGATTCCATTGAGTGGTCTTGGAATCTCTTTCCTATCATTTCCGTTGAATGGTCGAAATTTCTTTCCTTATAGATTTCGTTGAGTAGTCCGAAATCCCTTTCTCTATTCGATTGTGTTGAGTTTTCTAAGATCCTATCTTCATTGGATTCCGTTGAGTGATTCAGAATCCTTCTCCATATTTGTTTTGTTGAGCGCATGGTTGCAGCGCCCGGTGGGTGGGCCCAATTACCCAATTTTTCCATTAATTGCCACTCGAATTTTGGAGCTAGCAAAGATTTGACCATTGGATCATTATGGAATTGAGGTATGCTATTGTGAAGTATTGTGGTACCTTAGGAACTTGTGGATCGAAATCAAATTTATGGATCTTCTTGAAGGGATTACGTAAGGTTGTTAACCCTACCATTGATCACATTGAACGAGGGTTGACTTTTAGTTAAAGTGTCCTGAATCGTTCTTAAATACCAAAACTAGATTACTAAAGACCCGATAAAGCCTACTGGACCTACTTTGATTAGCAAGCCATCATGGGGATGTGAACCTCAGTTTGCATGTAAGTGACGGCTTACCAGAATTCACGAGGTTATTGGGCTTCTACGTGTATGCCAGTGACTTTAGTATATGTGGTATGGTTATTACCCTGAAAATTTTCATGCTAGCATTCTTATTGGATATGGCGTGGATTTATAAAATGTGTTTTCTGCTAGATTGTTGCTTTGGAATTTAGTCATCGATTTATTTTATGAAATGTGTTTTGCTATGCATATTTGAAATGTTTGTGAAACGAAATGGCTAGTAGAGGATCATCAACCCATTATTATGGGAAGTCATGACACCAAACTCGAATCATGTCAGGTTCCCTTAAGTTGTTTTAAAACAGGTTCCTATGATTCTGTTTGTTTCCGTTGAGTGGTTCATAAACTGTGCTCTGTCTGGGTTCCATTGAGTTGGTCCAGAATTGTATCTTCGTTGGATTTCCTTAAGTGTTCCAGAATCCCTTTCCTTATCGGTTTCGCTGAGTGGTCATGAACCATGCCTTCGTTATATTTCATGGAGAGGTCCTAAATCTCTTTATCTATCGATTCTGTTATGTCGTATGGAACCATATATTCCTTGGATTCCATTGAGTGGTCAGGAATCCTATCTTCGTTGGATTCTATTAAGTGGTATGGAATCCTTATCCTTATTGATTTCGTTGAATGGTTTGGAACCTTGTCTTCGTTGAATTCTGTTAAGTGGTCCTGAATCGCTTTTATCTATCAATTCCATTGAGTGGTCTGGAACCTTATCTTGTTTAATTATGTTGAGTGGTCATGAATCCATTTCTCTATCGATTTCGTTGAATGGTCTGGAACCCTATCTCCATACGACTTTCATTGAGTTGGTCTGAAACTCTGCTATGTTTGGATTTTGTTTAGTTGGTATGAAATCTCACTTTCTATTGGTTATGTTAAGTTGGTCTAAAACCCTATAACTCAGTGGCGAAGCCACGTGAGGGCGAGGAGTGGCGGCCGCCACTCCCCTCACCGAAAAACACAGCCCTAGCGCTGGTTTAGCCCCTCCCCTCCCGCCGGAAAACCCAGCCCCTCCACAGCTCCGCTCCCTGTCTCTCTTCCTTCGAACTGGTTCTGCTGCACAGCAGCAGAGAAGAACCTTTCTGTTTTGTTTTAATCTGAGCAGAAATTCAAATCACTGAGATTTTCAATTTTCGAGTGATACAAAAATTTAATCGAGATTTTCCCAAAAAAGTGACGAAAAATCCTAATTTTCTGTTTTGGTTGGCATTTTCAAAGATTTTCCGGGAAAAGTATGTATTTATATGGCACTGTCAGAGTGTGTAAGCTGGACTGTGGTGTGACTGCTTTGATAGGTAAGCAGAAGGGCTTTGGTGATGGACGGTGGTGACGTGGAGCTGGTGGATAGGACGGGTGACTGGGAAATGCCGGTTTAGGGAGTGCGGATCCTACGTGGAAAGTTGTTATTGGATGGTGCGAGTCATTAGGTTGTGTCCTCGTGTGCCACCATCGATTTGGAAATTGGTAGACAAGTAGGGTGGTAAGATACCACTCTTGTCCTTGACATAAATGCATACATGGAGTAAGCTTAGGGCATGGTAGAGTAATTATCGACTATAACGCAAAGCACCAAATCATCACTTTTATGTCTTTATTCGAATTTTTTCAAAAGAACCTATCCTTTTTCAGGGATCCTGAAAATTCCGTGATCGTGATCATTCATCGCATATCGTGCGATCAATTTTAGCTAGTTACTTTATATTTAATTTTAAATTTTAAATGATTTTTGACTGCATGATATACGATGAACGATCACGGTCACGAAATCCTCAGAATCCCCGAAAAATGATCCGACGAGGAACATTTTCCATTTTTAAATGACAAGTTTCACATCAATTTATTTATTCACCTATTAGTTTAAATGACAAAGTGAATTTTTGCTTCGAACTGGCTCCCCCCCCCCCCAAACCTAGTAGCCAACGAACGGAACGGAACGGAGCCATCTCACAGGCTCACTCCAGCCGAGCCGCCATTTACTCGCACACTCACTCTCACAGGCTCATGAATTTCTGCGACATTTTCATGACCTGAAACCTCGCCGGCAACAATTGTAATTTGTTTGTATTGATTAATTATGGAAGACATTACTATATAAAAAGATTTAGTTGTTGCCATTTTTCTTTAACCTTGCATTCTTTTAAGTTCGCCCCTCCCCCCGAGAAATCCTGGCTTCGCCACTGCTATAACTCATTGTGAGGTATGTGAAGATGGAATGATGTATTGGTGCATCACTTACATCAGTTGTCTAGAACCTTAAATTTTTATGCCAGGAATGTCATGAGAAACGAAGGAGTTTATCAAAAAGTGAACTACAAAGGCTTAATCCCATCTTAGGGTATGTAGGCAATGCACAGAGGTTAGATGCAGCAATGAAATAAAAGAAAATTTACTACGATATGAACCATTGGGTTGGTTTTGGTCATGTCTCGGAAGCGAGGCATGAGTTGGATAGGTAATTTAAGATGTCACATGTCGATCTTGAACATATCTCGGGATCGGGCGAGTAACAACTTTTAGTGGTATTAGAGCTTAGGTATTAGGTTCTCGTATCTTTACATTAGAGAGAGGAAGACCTTTGGGTATGTGTAAGTGTTATGAAAATTTCGAGGATGAAACCTTTATATGAGAGGAAGGATGTGAAATCCCGTCCCATATTTCACTATTAATTTTTTCGTATTTTGCATTTACGTGAATGTATTTTATTTTCGTTAAATTTTAAAATTTTAGTTAGTTACAAAGTTTTATTTTTCGTAATTAGCCATTAAAAATCTGTAGATCTTTTCGGGTCATTCGTGGACTTTCCAAATAGGCTCATTTCCACGAATGCATAGACGAATATTGTTCACAAAACGGAATTTTAACGAAAAAGATATAAGCGAGTAAAGGATAAGGCAAAATAGTACATTAGACGTTTTAAAGATGGGAACTTTAATGAAAAGCACCCGGTACTGTTCATTTTAACGAAAAACCACATTTTAACACTAAAAAGTCAATCCTGGTACTATTCACTTTACCCTTTATTTTGTCCTTATCATTAAAACTCAAAGTTTTCAAGCCCTTTTCATTAGTTTTCCTTTTAAAGATAGCAGCCCGCCAGAACCAGACTTACTACTTTGGGGGAAGCCAACCCACGTGCAGTCTAGAGATCACCTTCGAGAGATTTTTTAGTGTAACCGGGTACATGGGGTGGTACACCAAGTGTCACTAAAGAAATGGTGGAATATGTGTGCTAAAAAGTTAATAACTTAAAAAATAAAATTTCCCACAATTCCTATTAAAACACGTGGTGTACTATTTATGTTTTCATCACAACTAAAAATTTCTCCTTGTAGACGGATCAACTTTGAAGAGTGTTAGGCTATTTAATTGGAGTTGACTGTCGTTGTAAACATTTCTTTTGGATATTCTTTCTCTTGCATAAAAATTGGACCTCCCCAAAATATAGTCTTCTACATATTTTGTCCTAAATCTCCAATTACAATCCCAAGTATGATCCCTTTGTTGACTAAGGAGAACAAATATTCTACTGGTTTTTTCTTTTTTGGGTCAGAACTTTTTTTGTTTGTAGCGAAGAGATCAAGGGGATTAGAGAAACAACATATATGAGATTTCATGATAGCTTCTTATAGTTACTATTTTTTCATAGAGCGATGAAGTTAGTGCGTTAAATAGTAAATTGTTAGGAAAGAAAAAAATTGGTGGGGATCAAACTTGCACCAAGTTACATAATTACCAAGTACAACTGCATACCACTATCTATAAAGCTAATTATTTAATGGTACGTAGCTGCCATAAAAACTTAAAAAGAAAAGATATGTGTAACTCACCAGCTGATAGAGCATGTAGAGGTTTTCCTTTGGAATCCTTGGTTCGTAGAAGCAGCCTTGTGGTGTAGTTTTTATGCAGCTGGTAAAAATCAGACAGGGCCGTAGAAATGCAACTGAGAATAATCTGCCCTTCCCTTGACCCCATGTCAAGAATCACACCCACATGAACATCTTCAACAACAATATTTTGGGCGAACAATAG